GATGTTTATCGCACACAACTTGATCTGGCTAACCGTTTCTATTGTTTTAGCTCATAAAAAATAGTTCATCCGTCTGACCTGTATGTCATCTATCACACACATCTGGACTTGCTAACCGTTTTTTGGCTCCTCGCAAATAGTTCGTATGGATCAATTGTATGCCATGTTTCGCAGACACGGCTCTTATCTCAATCGTGCTTGATGGATCAACCATCACACACAATTCATTTTGTCGGCGATGATTTTATTACAATACCATTTGCGCTTCATGCATCACACACAGTTTGGTCGAATGGTCTCCTATACATATGTCATCTTAGGACCTTCCTACAATAGTGAGTATTTCCCTAGAATTAGCAATGCCATCATGAAATTGGAATTGTCCATGCACGTTCAAGGTGGGAAGTTGTATGGAATGACAAAAGCGGGCCACAAACTATATGCACTTCTAATGTGTCCAAAGGGATTGAACCCATCAGTTCCAAAGCCTAACTTCAAGTTACGGGGATCTGCATCAAATTATTCATGGTTTTTGTTGAAGGCCTTCCATGCCTTGCCATTAGCGGGGTGCCTCATGACATTATTCTCTTCAACACTCGTATTCTCGTGCCACCGGTTGTGCTCTGATATTTCTCCCAAATAAAAAAAATTCTTCATAACCATGGGACTATCGGAAAGTATCAAAGGATCTTGTGAGGAACCTTTTCTTTCTATCGACGTGTCTCCACCTTGATGTACCACACTCGGGACAATGAGTATTGTTTGCATTGTCTCCCAAATACAAAATGTAGTCATACTTACATACATGAATTGTCTCATAACCAAGACCAAGATCAGAAAGAGCTATCCTTGTACTAGAATAAGAAAAGTTCATATTGGGGCAAAGTGAAATCAATAGCTGAAAAAACATAGGGAAAGTCCTATTGGTCATACGGGTATATGTTTTGATATGAGGTACCTTGATAATGAACGCCAACAGTGCCATAGAGCAGCATCCCTCGTGAAGTTCCCGCCGCGCTTCTTGCTCGAAATTTTCAAAAATCTAACCCATTTGATGCATGTTCTTTATTTCCAGATTTTTCTTTCATGTCATCTATGAGAGTTGCTAGGTTATCATACTCAGATTCACCGAGGAGCTCAAAATCATCCGACTCGTCAGTTTAATTACCACATCCAGTGGTAGTGTCACTAATTTCACTATTGTCCAGTGATTCCCTAGGATAGATCCACCACGTATAGGTCTTGGACATACTAGGGACAATTAAGTGAAATTTAACATCCTTTATAGGATGACGGACTCCATTACCACAATCCCTGCATGGGCACAACATGTCTTCAGCCCCATTGCGGTGAGCAACCGCGGACTCCATAAACTCCTCCACACTTTTGATGTATGGTGTGCTCATCCTCACTCCATTGGTAATCCATGTTAGATCCATCTATACCAATATAAAAATACCCAAAGGGGCAGATCCAACAAATCCTGGCGGTCAAATCAGGTCAATCCAACGACTGAGGCTGCTCCAATGGTGAGCGCTCAGCACGTTTAGTGTGCAGTTAATATCATATCAAATATTAACACCAATGCTAATCACATACTTAATACGCAAAAAATTTCCTACCTAATATTTACGTGTAATTAATATATTACCTAATATCAACGTGCATTGCACGTACACATTTACTAGTTACTTGAAAAACATGAAAAAGTGCATAAGAATTTGCATCACTTAATCTAGGAAACCCAAACAATTTTGCCACGATGTCTTTTAGTAAATATATCGCACCTGAAATCACGCTTGTTTCACTCTACCGCAGTCGCACGTCACTTCTCCCTACAGCAGGAGCGCATCTCCTCGCCATACCGTCCCAGCCACGTTCACCTCGCCATGCCACCCTCTCACCTCATCGGGACATCGTAGTAGAACAGGGCCCTAAGTCGACGTTCCCAATTCATTTTTTAGGAGGGAACCAAATCCCAATTCCAAGCAAGCTCCGGCTATTAAAAAAAGAGATCATGTTAAATGAGTCCTCTAGAAAACAAATATTAGTTATTTTTCTATTTACCTTTACAATAAAGGACCCGTTCGACATTTTCCATGACGATGAAATCAGGCTGAACATGCACATTCCTAGTGACGGCTAAATACATCGTCTAAATTAGGTCAGAACGTCACCAAAGTTGCCGATGTGCCCCGCCCATGGGGAAAACGATGGTTTGTTTTCCTTACGAGGATTTATCATAGAATATCATACATTTTATAGTGAATAAAGTTAATTTTGCATAAGCCCACTAATAAACCAAGAAAGGATTGAGCGAAGAAATTAAATAGTGCACTCTGGGCTTATAGAACTGCTTTTATATTTATTTCATAGTTGGATGAGCTATGTGAATAAAATCTACATCACATACATAGTGCATATGTGATTTTAAATTTACATGTATAGTGCATGTGTGATTTTAAATTTACATGTTTGTGTGCGTTACAATGTGATATGTCAATATTCAATCGTACTTTGGTTTGTAAGTCCTCACGTGCCTTTCATGTGTACCTTATTTGTTAAGCTTAAATGCACCTTCTTTTCCTGATAAAATGGGGACACGCCTAAGGTCTTCCTTTCTTTTCCCTAGGTTGTGGACTAAGAGCATATACAATTGGACCTAGCAAATCCGGCCATCTAAACGTTTGCGGACAAACATGGCGGACACACCTGGGCGCGTCTGGGACTCCCCATATCCGCCCAGATATGGGCTTATGAGGGGTGCCGGTTAGCCCTGACGTATAGAGCCGGTATGAGGGGTACGACTGGATCGCGATTTCTTGATCAGTCATTGACTGGACTACCTGCCCGGACATATTGGGGCATTTGAGGAGTCTGGTTGTAGATGCCCTAAAATTGGAGAGGTCATGTTCAGCTGCTTAAGCCCCTGAACGGTATGCTGGCGCTCACGCGCAATGCTAGCAGGCCCCGGGCCATTAAGGTAGTGATAGTTGCTGTCATACACCCGTGCCTTAAGGGCCTAAACGGTTTGCTCGTCTTCACTCGTGATGCTACTAGGGCGTGGCCCATTAAGGTAGCGATTGTTGTAGTCGCTCGGTGTTGCTATCTTAGTCGTGGGTCATCCCCTCGCTTGGTTAACTGGCTGACTGTTGACTTTTGAATAAAAAACATGAATATGAAAAAAGTTTACTAAATTTGAAAAAAGTTCAATCTTTTAAAAGGTTCAGGAATTTAAGAAAAAGTTCATAAATTTGGAAAAAAATCACTAAAAAATTCCCTGCATTTTAAAAAACTTCATGTTTTTTTAAAAAATCACAAAGTTGAATCTTTTTAAAGAAAAGTCACGTGTTTGAAAAATATTCAAATTTTAAATAGGTCACACAGTTGAGAAAAGAAAAACAAAAAGAGAAAAGAAAAAAAAACAAAAACAAAAATTAAAATTGAACAAAACTCAATTTAAAAAGTAAAAGAAAAAACAAACCAGAATCTTCGAGAAGCTTCCCAAAACCGGGCTGGGAAGCTTCCAGAATCTCAGAAACTTTCCGAAAACTAGGACAAACTTCATGGTACCCGCCTTACATGGGCCGGCCGTTCTAATCGAAGGGGTGCGCCCTATGTATGGTTAACCTCGAGATCACCAGTTACAGGTTACCCCTTGTAAATATCACTCTTCACCTTTCTTTGGTACTAATAAGTGGCTACACTCCACGTGTGGCACTTGTCACACCCTGAGTATATTCCTTTTTTTCTTCTTCTGTAGATTCATTTTTTCAAAACGTTTAACCCCTTGATCGTGCGTGTAAATCATGAACCATTTTTACTGTTGAATTTCTCGTATCGAGATATTCGAAACTAAATCTCATGTTAATAGGTTTCGACATTTTTTCATGAAAAAGCTGAAAACCCTAGAAACGAAAAAAAGTAACAGGATTTTTTCAAAACCCCAAAAAACGCAAGCGAAAAAAGGAACCTACTCCCTCTGTTCCTAAATATTTATCTTTTTAGAGATTTCAAATGCACTATCACATATGGATGTATATAGACATATTTTAGAGTGTAGATTCACTCATTTTGCTCTGTATGTAGTCACTTGTTGAAATCTCTAAAAAGACAAATATTTAGGAAAACGGAAGGAGTAGAAGCGTAGTTTTTTTTCATTTTTTGAAACATAATTGTGCCTTTCCCTTTTCGAAAAGCACAAGTTGTGCTTCTCACGAGAGTACAAGCTGTGCTTTTTCATTATCCGGGAAGTACGATTGTGCTTCTCATGAAAGCACATGCTGTGCTTTTTTTTTTGAAACACAACTTACTTTGAAAGCAAAGTTGTGCATCTCATGAAAGCACATGCTACGTTTTTGCCTTTTGCCAGAACTAGAACAGTGCTTCTCGCGAAAAAATCACTGCCTTCCAAAGAAAAAACAAATTGTTTTCCTTAAAACGAGCAAAAACTGAAAATTCAAAAATTACCCATCCAAAACCTGAAAACGTATGCAGAAAAATAAAACAAAGCAAAATCCAAAAGAAGCGTCGAAAATACGCGATGGCGACTAGACAAATTACTTAACGCGCTCTCGAGCCTAAATAACCACCCATGTGGAAGCCTTCCAAGGGACCGTTAGTTAGTTGTTCCAATAGCCGACGCCTTAAGAGCATGATTGGTTGGATGCCAAAAGTTGGCATCAAACCAATTATGCTCTAAGTGCCGAATAGGAATCGGGCTGAAGTACTTATGGGCCTCTGAAATGCGATTTTCTTTTTCTTTTGAGGAGACGCGCGTGGGCCAATAGTTTTACGTACCACGAGTGCAGGCTCTAGGCCCAGAGGCCCAAAAGTCCATAATATCCTAGGGTTTCCTCTGTCTCAGGGGTTTCATCTTGCGCAGCGCCATATATATAACCCGCACGCACAGCCGCCCCCGTCCCTCCTCAGCGTCTCATTTTCATCCCCTCGCCCGCCGCCGCCGCCGCTCCCGCCGCTAGACCAGCTCGCCAGCAGCAATGGGTAAGACGCTAACTCTCGGTCGTCTCTGATTGATTTGGTTCTGTTGTACCCTCCGGATCTGACATTATCGTGACCAACGGCGGCAGCCCGGATCAAGGTGCACGAGCTGAGGGGGAAGAACAAGGCGGAGCTGCAGGGCCAGCTCAAGGACCTCAAGGCGGAGCTCTCCCTCCTCCGCGTCGCCAAGGTCACCGGCGGCGCCCCCAACAAGCTCTCCAAGATGTACGTGCCTCCCTGGCCTCCTCCCCTCCCCCTCATAGAGTAATCCGCGCCTAGGTTTCGGTCGTGCTCACGGGTGGTTCTTGTTTTGCGCCGCAGCAAGGTGGTGCGCACCTCGATTGCGAGGGTGCTCACGGTGATCTCGCAGAAGCAGAAGTCGGCGCTGAGGGAGGCGTACAAGAACAAGCGTCTCCCGCTCGACCTCCGCCCCAAGAAGACCCGCGCCATCCGCAGGCGTCTCACCAAGCACCAGGTGATACTTCATTCCTCCCTGTCCTTCTACTTGTGCTGCGATTCTTTACTTGGAAGCGCTCTAGTTTGTTATGGTATACTAGTTGTCAAATTATTTTCGTTAGATGCTGAGATTACTAAAATTGATGCCATTTATCTCTATATTTTGCTAAATGTTGTATTTTCTTGTGTAAGACGCCGCTTTTATGTGTATTGAATGTATTCATAGATCAACTGTGCAACAGATTAGTGACATGGCACTGTATTTCGTACTGCTTGCCTAGTTGTTCGCTGGTGGTTAGGTTTATGAAATCCTTCTAACCTGGCTGGTTGAATTAGCATTGTAAGGATTGCTGCGAATCTCTAGGTTGGAGAACGTTATTGTGTTGGCTTGATGAAAGACAGTTCGTATTTGTGAGTCTGATTGCTTGTGGGAGCTGGGATACTGATTTACTCTGTATTATGTATCGCACTTGTCTTTTTGAACCAACTTAATCATGAGTTGTAGTATTCTTTTCTGCTTGTGTCTGGTTAATGTCATGTTATGTTTAACTGCCTAAGTAGTTTCGTATCATCTTGTGTTTAACTGCCTAAGTAGTTTCTTATCATCCTGTGTTTAACTGCTGAATAGCAATCTATGCTCTCAGTAATAACAATTATTTTTTTGTCCGATTCAGTTTTTTGCCATAGTTTAATTTTCCATCTGAGGGCATGTGTTACTGTGTTACTGACTGTGCTCTGCTGTATTCTATCAGGTTAGTGCAAGTGCTTTTGATCATTTTGGTTTACTGACTCATTTTATATAATATTGTGCAGCTCTCTTTGAAGACGGAGAGGGAGAAGAAGCGCGAGAAGTACTTCCCCATGAGGAAGTATGCTATCAAGGCCTAGGTTAGGAGCACATGTTTTACCGGCCGAGTTTTGCTCAGAAGTTGCATGAATTTTATGTTCTGTGTGGACACCGCTGCTATCTAAGTACTATGTATTCGATATCCTGCATGAAATTCGAACTTATGCTTATTGACACTATGATCTACAGCTGCTTGTTTGTGTTGCAATGTGTTGGTTATTGTATGTTGTTAGTTTCCTGTTAACCTGATTGTGGAAGCGCCTTGTTGATGCTGCAGTGTGATGGTTTTCGTACGTTAAAGTTCATCTGACGAGCATCCATCGGTGGTGGATGCTTCATGTTCTGCATCAGTTATCAGATAGTGGTCTAGTTCGACATGCTCTTGTCCACCCGCTTATATATTATGCATATCTGTGTGAGGGAAGGACTACTTGAAAGTGGCATAATAACTTTTGGGAACATATTGTTTGCATATATCCCTTAACAACCTGTTTGGTAAACACTCGGGCAGGGGAATGGGAGTTTGCACAAGGGTGTTTATGAAGGGATTAGGCATGGGAAGTAGAGGTTTACATTCATTCCCTTGTTTGGCATATGATGGGAATTGGCGTGGGATAGAACTCTGCTCACGAATTAACAGGGTACCCCTGGGAAGAAATCGGTGGGAATTGGCTTCCTCAACTCCCAGTCCCTTTACCACTTAAACTCCCATTCCCTCTAATCAAACAGTGGACTTTTAATCTCGTTACCCTCAACTCTCATTCTCCATCTCTGTGTAGTGACAAGCGGCTAATTATCTGTGCAAAACTAATTTCCTACCTCTGAAATGCATGAGTTTGAACTTCAGATTGGACTTTCATCTTCTGCCTGCTGTTTCTTTTCTTGAGAACTTTCAAACATGGTTGAATTTTCAACATATATATATATATCATTTTGAAAGCTCCTAAAAACCTTGAGAAAAATATGAGCATGGTAAAAACTCTTGAAACCCATAAGGAAGTTTAGAGAACGATGGTATGCCCTAAAATACGTCGTTTTGCCTGAGGTGAACAGTGAATTCGTTAATAAAGAAATAAAAAAGATCTGGACTTTTTTGTGATTCAGGAATATTCCATTCCCTATTTTCTTGAGCGCTTACCATCCCCATTCTCTATCTTTACTTTTTAATAATGCCGTCTACGTTGAGGCAAGATGAGCTCTCAAACACAAACTTTGGGTCTTTGAAATAGTTTACTGTTCACGTACTGTTTCGATCGATTTTGCATTTTTTGCCATGAGCTCCTCAGATATAGCGATGAAAACGGAGCGGAAATGGACAGAATTGGGTGCTACAATATTTGTTTTCATATTTCTTTGCAGAAGCGAAAATGAATATAGAAACCCCGAAAATAAATACGAAAGACACAGAGCGGACACGAAAACAGAAGTGTGTTGACCGGAACTTAAAACCCCCTTGAATCATAGAAAAATACACACAAAAACAATCAAATTTAATGAATTCTTGAATGGCTACAAAATAATATGGTTGCATTAGCAACTTAGAACTCTCCCAATGTATTGGTGTTAAAGTGGGGTGCTAAGTGCATTAAAATGCTTAACAACTAATGTCCCCAATGCATTGGTGCTTAGCTTTTGTAGCTAAGCCTTCTCTATTTAATTGTTTAGTAATAAAACTCCTTCGTGTATTGCCTAGGTTCACGTGCTTAGTATTGGTTTTTATTGGGGTCACCATAATGCTCTCTCTCTTCTTTAATTGCTTTGCCACATCATATTTCTGCCTATGTGGCACCCTTAGCACCTGTACACCGTGGAGTACTGGGAAGGGCCTTAGCATAGTATTGTAGTAGTAGTACTGGACAATTCCATATAGGGTCTAGTTGAGTAAATGTGTTAAGTTGGTCCTCAAATGATTTATTCTGCTCATTGTGTCATTGTGTGCTGTTTGGTTGTTGGGCTACAAAGCATTCACATGCCGTAGAAACCAAAATTCCATATTCACGTCTGTTCCACCGGAAAACACGACTTCGTTTTTTCTATTTCCATATAAAAAGTTCCATTTCCATTTCTGTTTTACAAATTTCCGTTTTCATTTTCATATTTCCTCTCCATTTCCATTTTTCCTCCGGAAAAGCGGAAACTTTTCACTCCATTTTCATCCCTACGCTGAAGTTTGGCGCATCTTTCACCTATTTTTCCTTTCGTATTTTTTAAAATTTATTATTCACCATGCAGACGAGCCTGAGCACTGAATTGAATATCCGCTAAATACTAACTTTATAAAGATGCCGAGACTCAGCGAGTGACACCAGTTTAAAGAGTGTTGTTTTGAAATGCCAAAATTGATAAGGCCTTTGTGAATAAGGGCACGTTCTCCACAAGCCAGCTTCACGGCTCCATGGAAGAAGCCATCCAGAACGCTGCAACTCCTACAAGCCTGCTTCGTGCCTGACTAGTGTATTTTTATGGAGCAGCGGAAGGCCAGCTCTTAAAAGAATGCAAGAAGAAGTTGATCCAATTTACGCGAGAATGTTTTTCCGAAGCGATGCCTTCGTACCGTTTCGATCATAAAAAGCTGAACGGACTTGCATTTTGTCTAACTCATTGTGCACAACTCAAATCTTCACCACACATCGTCATGCACATCACATCAGCTGGTGCACGTGGTGTCGCATCGGCATGTGCACTATCTCTTCTCTCTTCTCTCTCCCAAACAAACCCATCCCTTTTGTTTCACCTTCCAAATTTAAATCATTTACATCTTTTAAACTAATATTTTGATTTCATAATTTTTTACATATTTGAACTCCTGTCAGAAGGACCTTTAGAACAAGATCTTGGATATATTTTGACTAGTTTAAAATTTTCAATAACATATTTCACTCATTTCAATAACATATTTCACCCTTTTCAAAAACATATTTCACTCTTCTCAAAACCATATTTCACTCATTTCACTTGTTTTGATAACATTATTCACTCATTTCACTTGTTTCAATAGCATATTTAACACATTTCACTCGTTTCAATAATAGATTTCAGTCATTTCAAAAAATTGATTTCATCTTATTTTACTCATTTCACTCGTTTTCAATAACAGATTTCACTCATTTCAAAAACTGATTCACTAATTCAGTAATGTCAATAACCGATTTCACTCGTTTTAATAATAAATTTCATTCCTTTCACTCGTTTCAATAACAAATTTCATTCATTTCACTTGTTTCAATAACAGATTTTCACTCATTTAAAAATTCAAAGTAGTTGAAATATATTCAATGTTAGTCTTATTCTAAAGGTCTCTGCGTCATGATTATACATAATAATTTGTTTTGAAATCGGAATATTGGTTTAAAAGATATAAATGATTTAAGTTAGAAAAGGTGAAATAAAAGGGATGGATTTGTTTGGGAGAGAGAATAGAGAAGAGAGAGAGTGGATATGCAGATGTGACAACATGTGTACTGCCTAATGTAATGTGCATGACGATGTGTGGAGCAGATTTGAGTTGTGCGCGCAATCGGTTAGGCATAGCCATATTCGCGAGTGAACGCATGCACACAGTCACACCCCGTGCCTCTCCTCTCTGCCGCTAACCCTAGCAGCCGCCAACCCCGCCGCTAGCCGGCTTGCCGCCGCGTCGCTCCCTGCCCCTCGCATCTCCGCCATGTCCACCTAGACGACAACAGTACACCTATCCCCAACACCTCAACCCCACCATCTCCGGCAGTAGGACGCCTTGCACCCGGTGGCTCCAGCACCCCGACGCCATCCTTGCCCCTTCCCCTAGCTCAAGGTGACCTGCCCCTTCCCCTACCTCTCTTTGTTTTCTGCTGACTGAGAGAAGCTGCTCGCTGCTGCCGAACGCATCACTACTCCCGTTGGAAGCTGGTGCTGACTGGCTTCTCAAGAAGCCGGCTATTTCGAGAAGCTGAAGAGGGGGCCTAAATCTGCAAGGTTATCGCGATAATTTATCCGCAAATAATTTATCTTCCAACTTTGTTACAACACTGTGTAGTGTGATATATGGGCAGGAAACCAAGTGGAACTTCCCACTTCATTTGTTCTTGTATCAGCATATCTGCATGTATGAAGGCAGCTCTGGGCAGCCACCTCCTCTCTCCCATCTCCATATGCTTTGATTGGTTTGAGGAATTTCTAATAAATAAAATTGAAACTTGAGAGTTTTCATTTAGATTTTAGGTATGATTTGTTTTTACTTGTTTTGTGTGTCTATGGAATGGTCCAGATCCAACTAGAATGACTGAAACCGGAAGAGAAGAGGTAGCAAAAATAAGCTCTAATGCCCAACCAAACAACATAGGAGTATGTTGTATGGAACATCTCTGGTTCACCAAACACACATCCCAATTGATCTTTACATCTGCTGGAGTCGCCAGTTTGGATCTTTGATAAAGACCCCCTTTCCCCTCCCTTGCGTCGTCCTCCCGAGGGTGACTCAAGGGCGACCCGCCTCTCCCCCCTCCCCCTCCCCTTCGATCCTTTCCCTCGTCGCCGCCGGAGATAGGCGTCAGGTCCCCCGCGCGGTCGCCGATGAGGGGGGCGGCGAGGCCCTCGGTTGCGACGCCGCTCGAGCTTGGACCTAGGGTTTGAGACATTGGCCTCTATGGTGTGGGCGGCATCGCTGTGGCGGCGAGCGACGTGCTCAGTGCTGTGGGCCGCTTCCCCTCGGTCGCGTGGCCGGCGAGGTGGCGGTGGACGCGGGCGTCGCGTGGAGAGCTCCTCGCGGCCTTTCCTCTCTAGATTTGAAGACGACGCCTTCATGGTGTGGCCTCCTCCTAGTCAGTCTGGCCGGATCAGGTGGCTGGCTGCGGCGGCCACGACATCGGCGGTGCTCCGAGCATTGTTTCCTTCTTGAAGGCGACTTCGAGGTCCAGCTTCCTCCCCCTCGTCCTTTCCCTGCACCCGGGTGAAAACCCACAACCTTGGTTGGGCGGTGGCGGTGCCATGGCTCCATCACCTTCTTGAAGGGTCCGCCTTGGGTCTGCAGGGAGGTGGGTAGGCTGCAGTGTGTTTTGGGCGT